TTAATCAAACTACTCAATCATCTTTAACCACGAATCCATCACCGATCAAGTGGTCTATTTTTCCATCAGGGTGCTCAAAGAAGTCTGCCACATCCAGGTGGGTGATGTCAAATTCGTTGTCATAGACAAAATTAGTTTCAGGGCCTTTATTCTTTAGAGATGCTTGATAAAGCTCAACCAAATGTTTTTGGTATGCGACAAATATTTGCCCAATGCCCTTTTCCACCGCAACGATAGCATTCAGTTTCTGAACCCTTTGCTTTTGGCTTCTCATCTTTCCCTTTCAACTTTTGGAAGTTATTTTTCTTTGGGGAATGATTAACACTAGAAAAATTTCTTCCTTGGCCACGGCCACGGCCACGAATAGGGCCACGACCTTTTCCACGCTTAGCATAATGAGAATACACCTCATCCACTTTAGGCAATGGTGTAGACCCAGTGGGTCGATTTTCGTGATTTCTTATAAGCAAGTCGTCGTTTCGTTCAGCCACAAGAGAAGAGAAATCAACTCAGAGTACTTCTTGAAACCTTTCTCTCGGTACTATTGTTGCAAGACCATATTGGAGGCATGAAACATTGTGAACGTTTTTTCAAGCATATCATAGTAAGTGATACTATCTCCACAGAGTTTCAATTTAGAAGTAATTCTGAACATCGCAGAATTATATTCAGAAACAGACTTAAAGTCTTGGAGCCTCAGATGAGCCCAATCATATCGTGCTTGTGGAAGAGTGACCAACTTTAAGTTGTCATATCTTTCCTTTAAGCCATTCCACAAAACTAGTGGATCTTTGACTGTGAGATATTTTATTTTCAGCCCTTCATCAAGGTGATTGCGCAAGAAAACCAAGGCCTTAGCACAGTCTTGGGTAGATGCTTTATTTCTATCTTTAATGGCGTCTCCGAGACCCATTGCATCTAAATGAATTTCAACACCCATGTCACATAGTTCTTGCCCGAAATTTCAAGGGCAACAAACTTTCTTTTCATAATATCAGTCATAATTAAAAGAGGAGAAATTATACATTAGTTTTCTCAAAGAGCTTCTTGAGACGGTAGTGTCTCGTGCCAATAACGTGTTATGAAATATAGCTCAAAGTAATAATATAGAGCAAGGAAAAACAAGCTAAGAGATATAGAGAGAAAGATATGAGAGATTCTTATTTCTTCCATGTATTCAAGTGTATTTTTCAAGCATATACAATATCACTTCTCATCCTCTATTTATAGTATTACATAGAGGTATACCAAAGAATACCATGAATACGTCATTGAACATGTCATTAAGCATTTGAGATCATGGAGGAAGATCACGAGGGAGATTATGAAGATAATGGAGAAGAGTAGTGATCATTACTCCTTTGGTGGTTATGGACATCCACCATAATTTTTGTAACTCTCCTCCCTCTTGAATGTCCATAGATAATGTGTCTCGTTAAACCTTTCTAGGAAAAAATCCTAGTGAAAGAAAAAGAGTACACATATCATGTAATATGCATTGCTTGCTGCCCCAAACATGGATGCGGGAGCTAGTTCCGGGCCGTCCGATCAAGGAAGATGAATGGTTGAGATCGTTTTATGTCAAAACGGGGTTGTTTGGTTGTGGATGTGGTCTGGGCCGGTTTAAATAAGGATTGGGGCGGGTATTTTGTTGAAGGACTGGGCCGCTGCTCTTGGCCCAGTTAAATGGATAACAAATGGCCCCTTTCTTCTTTGTTATTGAACTTAACCTTAACCAATTTTAAGCATCCTAATTCCGAATTTCCTTTGCAAAAAGAAATCATTTTCAAATGATCCAGCAATTGAACTAATCCCCTAACTAACTAGGTAAATTAACCAAAAGTCCAACTAATTAAACCTAAAATGCTACAATGACCTAAATGACTAACGCATTTTCTTTGTGATTTTGTATTTTAGTAATGCAATTAAAAGGTGATTAAACCCTAAAAATGCAATTACAAACCTAAAATGCTATAAAAATAAAGATTAAAATATTTTTAATGACTTTTAAGATATTAACTATGCAAACAAACAAATAAAGAGAAATTCTACAAAAATCAAAGACAACTAGAAAACTATTTTGTAGGAGTATTTTCCATAGGGCAAAAATTACGTGCTCACAAGAGTAAGAGGTCTCTATTTTCTGATATCTGATATCCGTTTTCCTAGTAATTACTGCTATGAAGAATTATAGTTTTCCTTTTGCTGTTTGTATGAAACATTAACTGAATATGTCGGTGAAGGGGCAGTATGTTAACATATATTGCTTGTTGGACAGACTTCTAAAGAGTATTTGGAAAAGCATCTGGCAGAGGTGGAGAATAACCTTAGGGAGCTCTTACAACAAGATCCTGGTCTTGCTCGTCAGATTATGACTATGTCTGTAGCCTAGATTTTGTGCTTCTGAGGTTCCTTTTTTTACTCTTTCCTTGAAAAAAAGGAGTTTCTCAAAACTCTTTGGGACTTGCAATTCTAGGTAATGAAAGAACGTTGCGTACTGGCTGTACGAGGAACTTGTCCACCGATTTCTGCCACTTCAACTATTGCTGCTGGGTTAGTTGAACGTTACATATCTCAAGATGTAATTCGTGAGATATGTTGTGTATTAGCTACCTTAGCAATTTTGTACACCTGAATGAAGTAAACTAGATTGAGAAAGAAATGTTTAAATATTGATTGTAAAGAGTAAAAAGGGCTGGGATTTGCAGAAAAGTTTAGGGCACAGGTTTTGAATTATATTAACGGTAACAAGCTTAATATTGACTCAGACCTACTGCAGTACAAAATATTGGTGTCCTTGTTGCTCGTGTTCCTCTTTTTTTTGTTTTTTCTATTACCGTTGTGTTCGGGGGTGACAGTTCACAGCTACATCTCCCATAAGAACAAGTACTGGGTAACTTTGTCCACCAAGGTTAGGTTATGTTAAAAGAAAAGCAATATTATCGGAGCTGAGTTTTTTTGCTTTGCGATTTCGTTCATATAAACATAAAAGTGATATTTTAAGCCTCAAAATTGCAATATTACATGTAAATATAAGAGGATCAAACAAGAGGCTGAAACCACAGGCTTTGTAAGAGGCAAACAACGAGGAAACACCAAATGCCCGACCATGCCGAGGTGAGCACGGGTGGCTTTTCGTTTGCTTAAGAATAAATCGCTCCTCTTTGCAACTACAATTCCAACTTTCTATTATATTGGGAATGTTGCGAATACGTTTACAACTTAAATCAGAAAAAGGAGGATTACAACACGTACGCCACTTGCTTGGCCTCCTCTTTCCCACAAAATAAGTAGAACTACATATACTTAGTATACATGCTTCAACAACAACAATATCAGTGGCGGAGCCAAGATTTTTATTAAGGGCAGTCAAAATATAAAGAAATAACTCACCAAGAAGTCAAGAGGTGTCATTATATAATATACATACATAGTTTAAAAAAAATTACCGAACTAAATAGTAGAATTTTCCGACGAAGGGGTGTCGGTTGACACCCCTTGGGAGCATGTGGCTCCACCACTGAACAACATACCGAGTGTGATCCCATAAATGGTGTCTGAAGAGAATAGTGTGTATGCAGATATTACCCCAATTAATAGACCCTAGGCTCAAGATTCATTAAATGAAAATGAAGTCCACGGATTCTACTTCAGTTTCATTAGAAAGCGTTTGCGATATTCACCAAGAGCCCATATTGGGAAGATATTTCTGTATGATGCATAGTTCAAGGTACAGTTTTTCATAAATGCCCCAGTTATTCCCTGCAAATACATAAGAAATAGAACATTAGTCATTCAGTATTTAAAATTGCTATATATATGCTCATATCTTGGAATGAAAGAATTTTATTTACAATCATATTATTGGATTTTAACCGCCCAACCCACTAGTAAATGTCTGCCTTGGGCCTATGCACGTACGATTTCAAAACGCGTCGCTAGGATTTAATGATTTGTTTGCTTATATAACCAGTATTTCTCCCGTGTTTTGTCGATGTGGGATTCACCGCCTGGGGTGTCACGTACGAGACTCAGCTTCCTCACTAAAGTTTGCCCCACCATCATAAAAGGTTGTACGCAAAGTGGCTCTGATACCATATGTAATAACCCAGTCCACTAGTGATATTGTATGCTTTGGGCTCAGACCCACACAACTTTAAAACGCACCATTAGGATCTAAGACTTGTTTACTTATATATCTCTTCCGTTTTTGTGGAATTCGCCTGGTGTCATATGCATATAATATATCCTCTGTGCAAACTCGTCGCGTTTCTCCAGGAAACAATTTAATGACTAAAATTTCACGGTTCATAGTGAAAGAAAAATTATCATTGTTATAAGGCAGCTTCCTACCTGTTGTGGATAGTCACCATCTTCCATTTGTGAATTTATTAACAATCCTATTCCACGATGTATTGGTGTTGGATCAATTTCTGCCTGAAGGAGAAAAAAAGAAAAGAAAATATATCAACCGACATATATAGTTTGGAACTGATTCACTTATTCCCATATTAAGAAAATTTACACTTCAATTAACTAGTACTTCCTCCGTCTCATATTATCAGTTATGATTACTAAAAATAGTTGTCTCAACTCTCAAACTGTTTGTCATTTTAGAAGTTCAAGACAAAATTGATTGTTTTTTTTTCTTCCTTTTTTACCCATAGTAATAATTATCCTTGAAACTACAAACATCTCAATTATGACTAAATATTAAATGAAGAGAAATTATATCTTAAAACATAAATAAGGGTAAAACAGTCAAAATCTATCATATTTAATATTTTCTCGAGGGACGTGTTAAAAAGAAAGATGAAAGAGAATTTGAGACAGGGAGTGTGTAAACACTAAACAACTTTGCTTTATGATGTAGAAGCGAGCTTTATCATTTCTTAAGTTGGGACTGAAAATAAGACATAATAATTTTTTTTTTTAAAGTACAAGTTTGTAATACAAACCTGTCCAGCGTTAATAAGAGATAACAACGCCCATGAAGTTTGTACCAAATTTGACTGGTCGCCTTTAATGTTCGTATAAACCTATTGAAAATAAGATATATCAAAATTAAAGGAATTAATTAAGAACTGTTAATTAAAAGAAACAAATCAATACAACTTTCAATTTTCTTTTTGTATCCTGTAATCAATTGTCCTAAGCAGTTGTTTGGACACCTAATAATCTTACACCTTATATAACTAGAAATATAGAGATAGGAGCAGATCTACCATGTACTCTACGAGTTCACTTGAACCCAGTTATTTTTGTCCAGATTTCGTATACGTATTAAGAAATTTACTAAAAACATATAAATATTTGACCGTAAACCCAATTTATTTTATAATATTAATAGCTTGAGATTGTTGTGACTTGTGACAATTCAACAAACAACAACAACATATCCAGTGTAATCCCACAAGTGGGATTTGAGAAGGGTAGTATATACGCAGACCTTATCCCTACATTGTGAAGGTAGAGAGGTTGTTTTTGACGGACACTCGACTCAAGAAAAGCATATTCGCAACAATTTTGAAAAAGTATTACTGTAATGGATTAGCCATAGAAAAGGGAAGTAGTAACGACAACAAGATAATAAGATAACCGAAACAAAAGTAACAATAGGTAGAAATAAAAATATGAGAATCATAAACTTCAAATCTTGACTCCGCCGAATTTTGTAAAGGAAGAATAGAAAAGGTATATCTTGTTACCTTGTTTGAATTTGAAAGATAACTCTCACCCCATCCACCATCTGGCAATTGCTTTGACAACAAAAATTTACAGGCCTTTTGAAGGGCATGACAAGTTGGATATGTTCTTCCACAAGCTATTAATCCATCTACTGCAAACCATGTTCCATATGTATAGCAAATTCCCCAACAACCTGTCCTGTACTTATATATTTTATCCTACGTTAATCAATAAAAAATATAGGTCGCACACAAGCTGATTCGGACATTAAAAGGGTAGCCCGGTGCACTAAGCGCCCGTTATGCGCAGGGTTCGAGGAAGGGCTGGACCACAAGGGTCTATTGTACGTAATTTTACCCTGCATTTCTGCAAGAGGCTGTTTCCACGGCTCGAACCCGTAACTTTACCATCACGGTTATAAAAAAAAAAAGAAAAAAGGTAAGATTGAGTTTTTTATGATGAACCTGTGATGCTTTTAGAAAATCATTTGCTTTCTTGAGGGTTGGTCCAAATTCTGCAGCCAGATCACTTGATAAGATTGCTTGGATTGAAAAAACTGCATCCCACGTTTGACAACCAAAGGACTGGAATAATCAAATTGTACTTATCATTAGCAAACTAGTTTTGGCAAATCATAAGGATTTTATGATTTGTTAATAAAATGTGATGATAATTAAGAAAAAAAAAACAAAGAGAAAGGCTAGGTATTGAATAAACCTGAAATTTTAAACCATCTTCAGATATCCAATAGTAATCTGGTAAGCGAGCAATGTGGCGTTTATATGCTTCTGAATTTGGATCTTCCACCCAACAAGCAATTAGACATAGTACCTACCAAAAGAATAATAATATTTTCAATTATCTCAAAGTGACTTTTTGGTTTATTATTGTGTTAATGTTGTAGCAATGTATATGTCATGGTTATATTATCATTTTTACTAATAAGAATTAATTTATATACGCTGATAAGGTAAAGAACTTTTATTCTATCAGTATAATTTTACCTTATTGTAGCCAGTAGCGTAGCCAAATAGAGTGAAGGGTGTTCAGTTAAATACCTTTTATAAGAAAATTATATTATGTATATAGGTCAAAAATTACTTTTTATAAATATATATTAAACCTTGAACACACTTTGTTAAAATTCCTGGTTTCACCACTGATTGTAGCAGGTTGTTTACAGAGGCGGACTCAGGATTTTAATGTGACGGGGGCAACATTATTTTGCTCAACATGTGCCCCCAAAGACTTTTAGTATTTAGGGTGCCAAGTTATTTATAGGAAAAATGACATTGTATAGCCGCTCTCAAAATAATAGAAAAAATATATATTTTTTGTATATATATATATATATATAATATACAAAAATTATACAAATTTTATACATTTTTTCGGTTACCGAATGTAAATAGTTTCTGATATGGGCTAAAAGTGATAAACTCCTTATTTATATAATCATTTTCAAGGTATATACATATACATATACAATCTTTTTACCGAAATTTACAGGGTCCGATGACGTCTCAACACTACACATAGGTCCGTCTGTGGTTGTCTGCCTTATTTTTCAGGTAATTAATCAGTTATCTTTTAGGTGGTGTGATTGTGTAAAAAAAAATTAGAAGTATAAACTCTTACAACTATATTGTAAGTTACCTTTTCCACACAACCAATGCAAATGTATCTGCTATTTTCATCTTCGTAGCGAATATGTTCCATGGCAAGATTCAAAGCCTTTTCTCTTAATTTAGTAAACGGCCATCTCTTTAGAACTGGCTCGGCAAAGTGATGCAGGAATCCCCAAAGTGTATCTTGTATAAGTGGATGTGGATAGTAAAGATCCTCCTATTCTCATATTAAAAAAAATTAACTATTTTATAAGCAAACTGATTGCGTAAATATTTTTATAACTTAAACTAATAAAAAAAGGGAAGAGAATCCACAGACCTTAGCACATGTATTCCTTGCTTTATTCCAGTCAATTTCATAGTAAGGTTGATTATGAATCTCATCTCTTATGGACTGTACCAAACTAGTGATGGTTCCCACAAATCTCTTTCCATATAAATACGACATGGGCATGTACACCAAACGACCATAACACAACATTTTACCTGCATTACAAAATATATTATATATTTTTTTGGTTCTGAGGAATATTTTTATTACATTATCTTTAAAGTTTTCTCCTTAATATATATTTATGGATATATTTAGAAACCTGGATGAATAGGAAATAATGTAGGCAGTAGCCAAAATTCTGGTGGCATTGGGTTGCAACCATCCCACTCATATACTCCTAGCACCTGAAATTAGTAATGTACAATTCATAAGTTCTTTTCTAAATCGAGAGATTTCAAATATACAAAAGTCTTTCGTTCTTTCTTAAACTCAGCGGTGAAGCCAGAAAATCAATAAGAACACAATCTATCAGTGGACTATCCAAGGGCGTTCGAAGTCTATTTTTTTTATCAATAATAAGTACTAATATTATACCCTATACACAGTATATTATTTTGGGCAAAAGGGTGTTCAGTTGACCACACTTGACCACATATAGCTTCGCTCCTGCTTAAACTCTGTGTCCAGTTAAATACCGTTACATACATTAGGACGGAGAGAGTATTATTATTCATACCGCGAGCCAAAACTTTCCCCAAGAAGGAGTAGCAACAGCAGCACCATGATCAAGAATCCATTTACGTCCTTTAGCCAATGCTTTGTCTTCACCATCTTCTCCTAGCAACCTTAGTGCTATGTAGTTAAATACTGTCCCAAACATAGTGCTATGTCCTTCTATATGAAATCCCCACCCTCCATCTTCGTTCTGTCCACATAAAAATCAGTTCATTAACTATCACATCTACAATCTGTCTGCAATTTCTGAATAATTTATACTGTGTTAATTCATAGTAAATAAAAAGACCTGGTGATTGTAAGTGTAGCGTTTAATCTCTATTTGATGAGCTGGTGATAAAACCGCATTCATGTCTCCCGTGACATACAATGCCATGACCTGTATTAATAAGACAGACGACATATTATAATAAGTTAAATTACACTATAAAATATTTTTTTATACTGCCACTAATTAAACTTACTCATCACATTATAGTATATCCACTTTGACATTAATTACCCTGTTTTCAGTGTCTCTTAAAAAGATAGCCAATTGAGGGAAAATGACGTTGATAATTACAAAGTAAAAAATTTGAAGAATTAGGGTGTGTTTGGTAGGAAAGAAAAGATTTTCCGGAAAATATTTTTCAATTTTTCTATGTTTGGTTGGTTTAAATGTATTGGAAAAGATTTTTCTCATGAACTCATTTTCTTCCAATTGGAGAAAAATATTTTTCCTATTAAGAGAAGAGAAAACATTTTCCAAAACTCTTTTTCAACCTTCCTTACTCTATTCCTCATCCCCACCAACCTATTCCATACCCCCACCC